GACAATGTCTTTGTAAGCACACCATTATACCATAAGTACCCATCCATCTTCACTGCTCTGAGTAAGATGCATTCTGCCATTAGAGACACGAGTGTGTAACTCTCACTAGCAGTACTTGAACTCTGAAAGTTGAAACAGAGTTTTAGGGCATGCTGGTCTGTGCATATGCAGCCACCATGATACCACTCCCCAGGCAGCAAGTGTTTCTGCTGCTGGCAGGCTGCGCTTGATCTGAGCTCCTCTTCCATCTGCTTCATCCTTGGAGCTGACTGCTGTGGCCACTCACAGAGCAATTTTGGCAGCAGCAAGGTACAGATGCCCAGCTTGGGAATGAGGTTTTGAAGCAGTGGCATCTCAGTGTCAGCTTGCCTTCCCAGCTGGTCTCTTCAGCATTCTTCTCTGGCTGGACTCCTGGTTCTCCTGGAGAACTCAGAAGCTGTGGTCAGTTTTTGTGGCTTGCTGGCCTTCCCAGAAGAACACTTGTCTCTGATTAGTCCTTCTGAAGGAGCTAAAAGCTATCTTCCTACATAACTTTAAAAGTAAAATCACTGGAAAATCTCATGAAATTCGCATAGAAACCTCTATGAAATGACATTTAATGATGTGATAGATTTCCGTTCTTGTTGAAAATTTCTGCTGTTGTCTACTAGTGTATGGTGGATTTATTTCTTTAATACGAAAGAGAGCTTCATAAAGTCTGGAATAATTTCCAGAAGATAAACTAGAACATGCCTAAAATTACTCATGTACAGGCACAATCTTTAACATATTGGTGAAGCAGTCACCATCATTCTTATAGCAGATAGATTAAAAAGCATTTCAGCACCTCCTGCTCTTACACTGTCAGCAATGGAGTGAAAGAAGAACTGAAAATTACTGTCTCTTCCTCCAAACATGACTGAAATTAAACACTTTGTTCTAGTCTAGGAATTTTTATTCTATTAAGGGGAATCTCTTCAGGCAGATATATGTCCTTCCCTCCCCTGTTCCCCTGTGAATATACAAATAGGGGAAATAAAAAATGCTCCAGAGCTTTGAAATCACAAAGAAGCCAAATACATTTCCTTGTTTTTCTTGTCTCTTACTTTGCTATGAATTCTGAATGCTACCTGAAGATTAATTTTTAAGTTTATTTTTTTCTCCTACCTCTGACAGTACAGGTGGAGTTGGAGTATGGCTTAACCACTGATATCTCACAAATTCTCTTTCAATGTCCTGTCTGTACTCACAGGGGTTTTGATAGTTCACTGAAAATTAAAATATGTGTGCAGTTGCAGTTTCAAGTGTATACAGGCTATGACTGCTGAATCTTTTTTCTTCTCAAAGCATCGCTGTTCTGGAGGTTACAGCAAACTCAGATTGCAAATATGATCTAGGACATCTGCAGAGATTTTGCTGTGTTAAAATGTGACAGAGGAAATTATTATATCCCTGGATTTACTGGGACATCAGGCCAGAATTTCTGTATCTTAAGTAACTTTTTTTCTGCAAGAGAATACAAATATAGTAATGAATTCAAGTAGAAAGTGAATATTATTTTGAGAAGAGGATCATATCTGAGGTGTTTAAGTATTTTTGTCTACCTCAGAAAGGAATTAGAAAAAAAAAGTAGATAAAAATATACCTTATAGTAATTTAATAATATATCTTACTGTAGGTATTGAAGGAATCAACTGTTCAGCTACAGTCACAGAACACTACTCAGGCATCGGATTGGACCTGATTGCATAATTCTGTTTTCTAGCATAAATCTAGTTCCCATTTGGAATTAGGTAAAGACAGTAAGTTTATACTACAGTGGATAGTCAGGAGCTGGGTTTTGCTCTGCCCACTGTGCTGAGGCACTGTGATATTTTTTGTTCTTCACTGTGTTTTGCACTTCAAAGGGACTCAGCCTAGAGGACTACCAAAACAATAACATCATGTGAACATCCTGTCTTCTCTTCTTCTACATAAACACACTGTCTATGCACTGATTTTTGATCACTGTGCAAAACCAGATGCCTTGACTCATAGGCTGTATAAATTTTAAAGGTTGTCCTTTATAGAGTGGAGTTATACATTTTGTGTTAAGTTATGGCTTCACTAGCAGACTGAACAAAGAAAATATTTAAAAAAAAAAAAAAGAGAATTTGTTTTCTTAATGTTACAGATCCAGCCTTAGTTGTGGAAGTTTTGATGCTGGGTTTTTAGTAGCTTGCACATTTTCTGTTCTAAAAAAAAGAAGTGTTGATTGTGTGAATAAGATTCAACTTACTCTTCAGTACAATATTGACCTTCAGTGAGAAAATGTAGTTATATATGCCTGTGGTTATTTCTGGAGTAGATAGAGTATGTTTATATGAAGAAAGGAATTTTGCTGATTAAAAACCACCATATACTCATGTTTTGGATGAGGCTTTCAGTAGAAGAGAACTGGAGTGGTGAAATACCAGTGGATATTTGCGTACAACAAGACGTGCAGAATGTTCTTTTCATGGCAAAAAGTAACTTGCTGTATTCTCTGCAACATTTCCTCCTGCCTTGGTACATACCTCCAGATATATGATAGAAGGATATAAGTAGAGGGAGACTCCTCTTGTGCAGACCCTTTCTTGCTGTCACTCAGTTTATACAATTTTTTCAAAAGAAATTAATGGAACAATAGTGATACAAATTCCATAATAAATCTAGCTAAACTATAAGGATTAAGTTGGTAAACACAGGTGTGGTTTGTTTTGCTCTGCAGCATAAGGTAATTTGAGTTGGATGCACGGTCATGTAGGCTGAGATCCTCAACACAATTTTCTCACAAGCTCTCAGTAAGTTATACCTGCAGAACTGGGGTGTTTTCTTCAAAAGCAGAAAAATTAAAAAGAGTAAGAAAACAATGTACCCAAGTGCATCTTCTGTTTTGTCCTAGAGATCTCTGCTAGCATACCAAGCACACTGGTTTTAGGTGTGAGGCTGCAGTTTTCTAGAACTGCAAAAGAAAAGTGATAAACAGAGAAAACCCAAAGCGTTCCTGATTTGTGGCAGTTCCAAGGCAACAGACAATGAATTGTCAGTTAAAAGGGAGGATTTGAAATAAAACTCGGTGGGGAGCAAAAAGGACCATGATGGCATATAAGAAATGGTATTTTTCCCTATGCATGTAAAACCTATTTCTAAGCAAGTGGATTTTGTGGTGTGTGGTTTATCTTGTGGGATCTGAGGTTTGTTTTGGTTTTTTTCTGTGAAGAGTAGTTTAACCTAGAAGAAGAAAAGTGCCCTGTTGAATAATAAGGATCCACTTGGTTGCTGTATTTGAAAGTTGTTTGGAAAGTATCTGGAGATTAGGGAAACAAATGCCATTGAGAAGAAGAAAACTTGGTTGCTGGGACTCTTACTAACTCTTTACTAAGGAAATCTGGAAAGTAGCTACTTTGAAAACTGTTTTTAAAGGAAAAGGATTAACTGGATAAAATAGCAAATATAGGTAATGTGGACTGCTTGTTTAACAAGGCTCAAAAGAAGAGAAGGGAATAACAGTGTCAGTGGCAGCTGGAAGTGATTCTCACTGATAGTTTCTCATAAGTCCTGCATTATTTTCATATTAAGATCCCTTTTTATATTTAGTCAAATTTGTGGGTATTCTCAACCTCTTTTTTCATGTATTTGTTTTGTATTTTAGTTCTTTCAAAATGAATTTTTGTTTATATATCATCTGTTCAGATTTACTTATACTAGAATATTTTTTAAAGTGCCTAGGTTATCAATTTATGTTGAACTGCAGATTATGGAACATGAAACATTTTGTTTCTGAAGATTAGAATCTTAGAGATATCAGGAGTTTACTTGGAGCCAGTGATGCAACAGTAATACATGTTTAAGCTTTCACAGAGTGACACTTTTATTGGCACACTTAGAGAATGACATTTTTATAGGAAGTATGCAGCTGCATTAACTTCCACATGTAGCCCCTTCCTGGTCTCAAGGCATCACTTTCTAAGGTGAACTAGAAATATTACAGAAGATAAATGGCATATTCATGGATCACCCTGATTAAAGCCTTCAGCTGGGAGAATATATTTTTAATAATAATAAAAAAATGCCGTATTCTGCAAATTATGTGAACTGGAGATTTGAATCTTGTAAAGAGTAAATCAAAACTCCTGCACGTAGGTTTGAAGAAGAGTGCATGTGAACTCTGGAAACAGGTGAAGAGTATTTAATTATCTTTGTTAAATCACTTCTCAGCAAACTCCCACTGCTGAAGTTTTATCAACTGTGTTGCATACCACTACATGTCAAAGATCTGATCTTGTATTGCTGGCCATGTCTTGATTTGAAAAATGAAGTACATAGCTCAGCATTACTAGTGTGGTGTTCTGTTCTTACTGAAGCCCTTGTCCTCAATTATTGTTCTCATTATCTCTCATGTAAATTGAAGAATAAGGAGACTAAAATCAGTAGTTCCACAGAAAGAAGCATAGTAACTAGTCTCCTGTATATTTGGTGGAGGGAGATGATAAGACCAAAATAATACTGTAATGTCCCCTCCCTTTGTTCTAAACAGTTGCATTAGTTTGCATTCATGCACTGTGGTGGGTTTGCTGTGCCAGAAATTACCAAGGAGATTGCTCAAATGAATAAAAACCCCAACAACTTAATTCTATTCCATCTTTCTCTCCTTGCTGAAAGGACTGACAAAGTAGCAATGCTTGTCTTTCATTGATAGATAGCTGTACTCCCTCTCTAGCTGAGTTTATATGTGAAGTGTGATCTCTTACTTTACAGCACTGCATTGCAGTGGTGTAGGTAATGCTCAGGCAGTGTATGTGAGCCAGAGTTCCCAAGCCAGAAGGACCCAGGTTCACTGATATTTGTCTCAAATGCCCTGACTATTGAACATGTCAAACATTCCCAGCTTTTAGTTTTTACTTATGCCTTACTTTTGTTCACTTTATTAGCTGGTTTTTGCAGTTTCTTTAAAAGGTGCTCAAATAAACAAAGAGGCTCATTCTTATTATTGCTTGCAGGTTTCCAACCTGTACCTCTATGACAGTGTGCTCATGCTGGCCAATGCTTTCCACAGAAAACTGGAGGACAGGAAATGGCACAGCATGGCAAGCCTGAACTGCATGAGGAAATCCACCAAACCTTGGAATGGAGGGAGATCCATGCTAGAGACTATTAAGAAGGTGAGAAAAGAAAAACCACAGTCGTGTGAGCAATTGAAAGAACTGTTTCATTTCTACTTGAGCGTTTGAAGAGGTTTTTTATTCAACTTTTCTTTGATTTATTAAAAGCAAGTGATTTACAACTACCAGGAATGATCCACAGCTATTAAATGAGTGAATGATTTATGACAAACAAATTGCAGACATTGCAGTGTTGCTCCAGTGGTGTGTGTTCTACCTCTGTTGTTCTCACAGCCACCTTCTGTGGAGATACCACGATTAGGAGTAGTCATTTGTAGAAATGGAAGCATGCATTTTAGAAAGAGAACAACCTAAGGAGCTCAAGGGGGCAACCAGTGATGTGGTTTAAGACTTTTGTTCCATTTACTAAACTCAACTAGCTTTGCATGTTACCTGAGCATTGGTAAGTATGTTTTTGTGTACTGTAGGGATCTGATTTAACTAAGTTGTCACTAACAGTTACACTGTCTTGCAGCATTGCTGAATTACTCAAATATGGACAGTACTGTGGTTTGTAGATGCATGGTAGCTTCTTGTATGAAACTTATTTGATCAAAAGTACTAGTGGAAAAAAAACCCCTCATTTTTTACTATCCTAACTTTAGAAATTATTATGAAGAAATCCCTTGTTTCCCAATATATATGGATGAAATAATTTTCCTCTAATAAAAAGATTCAGTTTGATCATTCTGATTAGTCCTAATGATGCTATTCTTTGTTGCTAAATTATTTCAAACTTTTGTGTCACTTCCAGCTTCTTTGCTACAAACCCAAAATCAAACTCGGTGACACTTTCACAGAGATACTTCCAATTATAACTTTTTTTTTCCCCTGCCTCTCTTGGGAGCATAGCAGGCATACTCTTTTTTTTGGACTGGAGCTTCATGCCTTTGTATTCAGACCCAGAAGTGAACATGCTTCAGTTCAAGCAGATACTGAAATAGCTGTTGTCTCATAGTCCACTAAAGTCCTTCTCCTCTGGGCTCTGTTTCTGTGAACAATGATGTCCTGATGGCCATAAACAGTGGATGTGTTAGTGCTAAAGTAATTTAAAAAAAAAAAAAAAAAGAAAAAAAACCAAATTAAAGTCTTTTGTCTGGCACTGGTTTGGGGTTTGAGCTACTTAAGGACATGTAATTGCTACATTTAAGTTCACTGTAAGCATTTTCAAAGCAGATTTTGCCGACATTTAATGTAGAGGAGTGTTTATAAAGGTAAATTTGTTCTCTTCTAAACTTCTTAAAACTTATTTCCTCAGGGCCATATAACTGGGCTTACTGGTGTTATGGAGTTCAGAGAAGATGGTGCCAACCCCTATGTTCAATTTGAAATCCTGGGCACAAGCTACAGTGAAACCTTTGGCAAAGATGTGCGGAGGGTAAAGACATGCTGTTTCTTTCTTTTCTTTTCACCTAAATAATGTGCATTCTGCTTCACAGGTGAAAATGTTATTCTTAAGAATGAATTAGTGGTATGCTGCAGAAGAAATTTACTATAACAGAAATATTTTCTAATTTATTACACACTTAAATTTTGAAAACTAATTTTATATTGGTAGGCAGGAATTCTGCAAGTTGTTTCCCATGTGCAGTAATTATGAAGTGCCATAACAATCCTGTGAACATACTAGTGAAGACTGCACAATTCTGCTCATCTATTTTATTGTTAATTAAGATATGATTGATATAATATAAATATGGAAGATATAATACAACTGGCACTTGTCTTACTAAGGAAGGTAACTGAGAATATAAATTACCTAAACACACAAAGATGTTCCAAGTATAGCTACTACAAGAATTTGAGATACATAAATAAAAAACTGTAGAGAAGATAATTTCCAAAATTAATGATGCTATATCCTGAAAAATAAAGGATGATTCATCAGTGGTAGCTGATGGAGTAAGAACTGATGGGGATTGGAAGGCAGTTAAAATGGTTCCAAGGTGTTATTAACATAAATTATCTTGGGCTAAGAAGGCTACCTGGAACAAGTTCATGCAGAGGGGATGCTCCAAAAGTGTGTGAAACTCTCAATTGAACAGTGAGGTACTGATTGGAACCCAGGATACAAATAATTTCTAAACTGGTCAGCTGGTTGAAATACAGACATTACCACTGTGTGGTTAATGGATCCTACATTAAACAGAGCTAAACAAAGAGGTTTTCCATGAAGAATTAAAATATATGACATTTTCTATTTTCGCTTGACCATTGGTTTCTGTGATTTGTTTTGATTCACCTAAATTACAGAAGTCTAAATGGAAAAACAAGCAATAATGCAAAAACAATGTATTTGCATTATCATTTTTATCAGCAAAACATGAGATTCTTTCAGAGTCTAGTTTGGCACAAGGATTCTGGACGTGGAGCCAAAGGCATTCAATATCTATTAGAAATTCAACAGAAGGCAGATAAGTATTGGAAATGCATAAAATTCCAGGAGATATAATTGAAAATTTTCTCTTGCCAAAAAAATGTGTTTGAACACTTCGTATTGGCTAGGCACCCTCCTATATTGTAATGGCCAGAAAAGGCTATTTCTCAGTCTGCTTTCACTTCTAGAAGATTGAAAATTAGGAAGTCTTAAGTTTCAAACCCTGCCTGAATTATTAAAAAATATATACCCTATTGTCTCAGTTTGGAAAAGTGTTGTCTATTTAAGAAAACAAAGTCAGCTTAGGAGGTCTAGGAAACAATTCCAGCTGATAGTCAGAAGTATGCACCTCCTTTTATGCACAAGTATGCAGAACAGAAGTATCTGGTGCCATGTGAGATGCTGTGGACTGTCCTACTGTGTTTCCAGCTGCCACTACAGAAAAGCATGAGTGTCCTGCCAGTGCTGTGTTATCCTTAGCACATGGATGTCATGGGACGTTTCAGTTTGGTTCCATTTTGTTACAGAATTCCCAAGTGACTTTGCATAAGTCACATAGTGGCTTGATGCTTTGATTTCCCTTTCAGTAAAATTGGCATGAACACCACTCAGCACAGGTTTGAGCCTTAAAGGCAAATTATGATGTGTGAGTACATGTTATTACTTTTTTTTTCTGATGTGTATTTCAAATATGGTGACACAGATACAAAAGCTCTCGCTTCAGCATATGTAGCAGACTGATCACATTGACATATAATCCAGAGGTGTGAAGTGGAGGGAGCTAAAATACCACTCAAAAGGGACCACAAGGCAAAGAAATAGGTAAAATGACTAAATGGAAAAATTGCTAAAATGGCTTACCTGATATACTACTGATCACTTTTGATCCCTAATGTGCTACTTTGGGATTAGGTGTTTAATGTAGGAGGCCTAACTTTTTGAATGTCAAATCCAGAACATTATACAGTTCCCAAAAATGAAAGGGAGTATAATTCTAAATGGATAAAAAGCTAATGGCTGTGGAATACTGCTCTGAGATAAAATAAAATTATACTTTTAGTCTAATGTAGAGAGAGAGTAAAAAGTCAGCAATATGCCTGAGAAGTCTATAGAAGAACTTGGAAGAGATGATGCCTCTCAGAGCCTGACTACCATGGAACTACTGGAATTCAGTTATTTGAATTGACTTGTATTATTGAAGCAAATATATGTTATAGCTTATAATTACTTTTAAAAACTCAGAAAGTCATGTTTGTCTTGTTTATATTACTTGAGTGAGAGACCAATTCTTATTTATTATCAGTTGTTTCCATTTTCCTTTGCTCAGTTTTAGCTGTGGAGGCACATATTTTGGGTAGAAAACAGAAGGTTCTTCTACTTGGTTTTCTTCTGCATGGAGAGCATCTGTATTTATTTATCCCTGTCCAGATCCTACAAAAAGTCTTTGCACTTGGGATCTGTGACAGGGTAAGGCAAAAGACTATAACATTGAGTGTTGAACCTTAGATGGAATCCAGTCAAAAGCAAGTGGAATTTTAACTCTCAACATCCCTTACAATGTTTCTTGGGGATCATTCCCACCAGAAAGACTCCTAGGAGGGTGTCCAAGATAGTAACTAAAATCCAGCAGGAATTTTCAGAGCTATTTTGTAGAGGCATCTTGACTCTCCAGTTGCCCTGAGATCAGGTCTTTCTGCAGACAATTGTTGCTTTCACTAGCTGTGATTTAGGCAGGAGTGCAAGTAAATATATGTATTTTCTTGCTTAGTATACCTTCTGCTTTATTCAACAAGTCACTTAGTATGTCTTTTGGTACACAAGTCAAACGCCATGTGGTTTTCCTAAAGGCTTATAGTGCTTTTGTATGCACCATTTATTTTTCCTTTGGGTGTACTTTAGTGAAAGGGAAACTTCAGAAAATGCTCTAATTTCTTTGGTTGAAACATAAAAGAACAGGATATGTCCCTTAAGGTATATCACCTTGTTTAACAACAGGCTCAGGCAATTGCCTTCTATTCACTGTGTCTATGTGGAGATTTAGAAAACAAGGTGTACTTGTGCTTAAAAAAGAGATTAGTGTGGTGGTTTATCAGGGCATTTGAAACTTGAAGATTGTCAGACAAACCAGGCTTAAATGCCTAGTGCTTGGCAATTACCCCTATGATTTATGTTCCTGCTGTCTGTAAACACCTTTAGAAATAGCAACCAGGGTATCTGTATATTTTAAAAAAATATAATAAAAATAATTAAATACAGAAAGTGATAAAGGAAGAAGTAAGAATAAAGCTGATGTCCTACTTCTATGGTACAAGGGACATAAAGTAGGAAAGCAAGTCAGGACTACATTAATTCACTCCTTGGTGACCATCTATTAGTTCTTATTAATGAAAGACTTCATGTAACTGTCAGAACACCTGAGCTGGATTGTACTTCTTGTGTTTCTGCACTTGGATGGATTCCACACAATGCAGTAGTTTGATGATCCGGTTGTGAGAGCAAAAGTAAGGGAGCTGGTAATCCAGGGTGGTATTCCTAGCAACTCACTACCTCACAGTGAGCTCTTGAGGTGTAAACATATTTGTTCTCATTTGACCATGTATGCAGAGAACACCACAACAACTAACTGCCCTTGTAGGGATGTGATTAGGCTTAGTTAGATGATGCCTGTGAGGAGCTTTATGATAATCTTCATCTTCATCCTTGGCAGGAAGATCTTCTGTAAGTGTGAAATGATGTGGTTATTTAGTTTACTTTATGACAAGGATCATATTTTTTCTAAAGCAATCTGCATTTCTTTACCAAGCTGGCTGTAATGAAGGCAGAATTAATGGTTTACACATTCAGTATTTCATAAGAAACATTCTGCTCAAAATGATAACGTTTGGGAGTGGTTATTAGCTTCTGTTAGTTGGTGTGCTTTAATTTTTTTAAATTAGATTTTCTTTAAATATCAACTGCTTCATAAACAGTTATAGTTATTTCCTACAGCACTTCTGAGGCAGATTGCAGAAGTCACTGTGAGTAGTTTCTGTGATATGTTTCAGAGTTGTTGAAACCCCATTTTTGAATTCTGAAAGCGTGGTTTAATTGGGATTGTTACTTTTAGACAAAATCTCATCATTATCATGATGAGAAATCCTATGCTTCTTATCCATTGCAAAAAGGAATGGTATTTTTAGGGATCTGCAGTAACAAGTGCTTTTATCTGCAAGAATATTGCCAAGTCACATCGTATGCTGCTAAAAGATATAGATATATATATATACACCAAAAGAATGTAATGGTAATTGAATCAGTTTTGCTTATATGGACCAATACATAACTAAATTGCCTGAGTTTAGCTATAAAACAGATGCCTGCATCCCATCTGAGTACTTCATAAACATGTACTTGGATGTAATATTTTGGTTTAACCTCTGTGGCCAAAGTATCTTTCAGCAGAAATGTTAAGACTGAAGTCTTGGTTACTTTTGATCCCTAAAGACCCTCTGTTACTTTGCAAAGGGAAGGGCTAATAGTCCTCTCATTCCAGATAAAATACAATTTCCCACATTTACATTTAGTTAAACTTTCTGTTTGAGTTGATTGAGTGCCATGGTGGAATAATTTGGAAAAAGAGTGTTGTGATTCACCCTATAAATACGTGTGTCAGACTGAAGAAAGAACTGAAGTATTTTACTTGAAATAATAAAACTCCTTTAATGTTTAGCAGTAATTTTCTCTACCAGATGGCTGTGAGGAGTAAAAATAAATGCATACCTTGCAAATTCCAGAGGTTGAATTACTCATGGTGAAAAATACAGCTGAACATATAGGAAATTGCTATGATCAACTATAGAAGAATACTAGAGAAGAAACATGATGAACAGGGGTGTTTATTTTCTGTTTGCTCAGGTTCTGCAAACTGGGCCTTTTTGTAATACTTTATGTTCTGTATGATTTCATTGTAAAATTCTAGCTGAATTATTACACTCACTGAAAAGTAGATAAACAATTTTAAA